CACTCTGCAGGATGGGGTGAACTCATCACACCCCCCTTTGTTATTGTTGGGAGTAGTGTCCAGGTCTGGAGTCCTCAGCATAGGAAGGACATGGAGCTGCTGGAAAGAGCCCAGAGGAGGCCATGGAGATGCTCCAAGGATGGATCCCTCTGCTCTGGAGCCAGGCTGGGAGAGCTGGGGGGGTTCACCCGCAGAAGGGAAGGTGACCTGAGAGCCTCTTCCAGGGCCTGAAGGGGCTCCAGGAGAGCTGGAGAGGGACTGGGGACAAGGGCCTGGAGGGACAGGCCAAGGGGGAATGGCTTCCCACTGCCCGGGGACAGGGTCAGAGGGGATTTTGGAAAGGAATTCTGCCCCGGCACGGAATCCCCGCTCCCCCCTCACAGCGGGACTCGCCCGCGCCTCACGGGCGCGGCGCGGGGAGGGGAGGGGGGGGGGCGCACGTGCGCGGGGGCGGGGCCTCCCCGCGCCCCCCCCGCAGCACAATGGACAGCGCCCGGCGGGGGGCGGGGCTGGGGGCGGGGCCTGAGGGGGCGGGGGCGGGGTGGGCGGGGCCGAGGGAGCCGCGGGAGCAGGACCGGAGCGGCCGGGCTGGGGCGGCATCGCCGGGAGGGACCGGCACCGGCACCGGGATTGGCACCGGGACTGCACCGGCCGGGCTGGGGCGGCACCGCCGGGAGGGACCGGCACCGGCACCGGGATTGGCACCGGGACTGCACCGGCCGGGCTGGGGCGGCACCGCCGGGAGGGACCGGCACCGGGATTGGCACCGGGACTGCACCGGCCGGGCTGGGGCGGCACCGCCGGGAGGGACCGGCACCGGGATTGGCACCGGGACTGCACCGGCCGGGCTGGGGCGGCACCGCCGGGAGGGAGAGGAACCGGGCGAGGAGGAAGGTACGGCATATGGGGCATGGATATGGGGTATGGGAGATGGGAATGGCTATGGGATATGGGGTGTGGGATATGGAATATGAGATGTGGGGCATAGGTATGGGGTGTGGGATATGGGGTTTGGGATATAGGGTGTGGGGTTTGGGATATAGGGTGTGGGGTATGGGATATAGGGTGTGGGGTTTGGGATATAGGGTGTGGGGTATGGGATATAGGGTGTGGGGT